AACTGAAAATATGGATGGAGGACAACAGAGCTGCTTCATGGAAGAAGAACCTCAGCTTAGCCTGTTGGCCTTTGCGCTAGCGCCGACGCTATATTGCCTTGTGCTGCGTTCACACCGAACGCGATTTCAGCTTCAAAATCGCGTTCAACGCTTCAAGTTGGTAGCTTGACCACTGTGAAGTCAAATGTTTGCTGTTTATGCTTGACGGCGAATCGCCCGTCAATAAGGGAGGAGCCTCTCTGCCGGTGTTATGCCCAGAAACGCATGCCTGCCCAAAACTGCATCCCCTCTCGCGGGAGCGCGCATCGCTCTAAAGTCCCGCATATTGACGAGAAACTGGACTGAAATATGACCGAAGAGGAAAATTTAAAGATATTTGTAACATTATCACGTTTCTTAATCATGTAATCCCTAAAACGGTGGGCTTTATTTCGCAAATTACTTGAAATAAATACGGTTTTTACACCTTTATTGACACATATGAGTCAGAACTTTTTTTCAGTCCGTGTCTGTTGAAAACGTTCTCCGCAAATGGTTTGAAATTCTCTGCTTTTTCTTTTGATACCATAATAGCTTAAAAGCATTACAAAACACAGGCCCGCTATGTAAAACATTTTACGTCATGCTTAACTTTCTAGTCTGTTAACGTAGGAGGGAATACATTTTAATTTATGAGCCTGAAAATATTTGCATCCATCCTGTTGATATAAAAATTCTAGCATTAGCTCAGAGAACAAGTGTCATTACGTAGAAAAGGTGAAATCCTTTCAGCTCTTTATTTCTCCAAGTTAGCGCAGGGATGCAGTTTTGGGCAATTTGCTTTTCCAGCCTGCCAAAATATGCATCCCCTCTTTATTTTCCTCAAATATTATCCTACTGATTTAAAACTTCTACCAGCAGATCATGGAACTACTCTGGTTATGTAGAAAAAGTTATTTCACTCTTAACTCTTTATTTCTCAAAATTAGCACAGGGATGCATTTTTTGGCGATATGGATTTCCAGCCTGCCAAAATATGCATCCCCTCTGTATTCTCCTCAGATATTATCCTATTGATATAAAACTTATACTAGTATTCTTAGAACTACTCTGATTATGTAGAAAAAGTTATTTCACTCTTAACTCTGGTTGGAGAAAATTATAAAAAAGTAAAAATTAGGTGATACTTTCTTGTACCACAAATCACAGAAATACATTAAATACATATCTTCTTCATTTCGTGATTAGATAGACACCATGTGTGCCTGCCTAATATGCCAAAATTATGTGCCAATTATGTTACTTGTATTTGTTTATGAGATCATACATTGTCAAAAATGGATGAATAGACAAATGAGATGTATAGAGAGGATAATTGTTGTTTGATTTTCTGTAGAGTCAGTGAACATTTGCAGACACTGTGGCAGTGAGGACACAGAAGATCTGTGGGTAAGAGAACAATGTAATGCATTACAAAATAAAGTTAAATAACCGAATAGATATTTAGAGTTTTTTTTTTTTTTTACATAACCACTGCTTTCTGTCGAATCTGCGACACAAGTCTATCCAGTTAGCGGAAGTGCCTGCTACCAAACTAGCATGCTAGTAGGGAGATGAACTGCGCTCCCTGGTGGTAGGAGGGAAACACTACAAATGTAAAATACTACTGCATACTGGATCTGTATTTTTAAAAAATATTAAATTATAATGTTTTGTGTTTATTTACTGGAACGTAACTTAATATTAGCATAAAATAATATAGGCAAAGAAAAGTTCAAAACAGCTTATAAAGTACAGACATATAGACAAATGTTTAATTAAACAATGCAAAATTTACATTTTTACATACATATACAGCCCCTTTTTTGTTTCCCCCTTAGTTTTATAACATTAAAGGTTCAGCTCATGTCAGTTTAACAACATCTAAAGACTACAAGCTGCACAAAAACACAAACACACGAATCCACATTATTCCTCAATCAGTCTGTTTCTTCTAAACTTTTTTTTTACTTTGTATTTTCTCATTTGTTTCCTCAAAAAATGATTGAAAGAATAGGATTTTCTGATCAAATATTCACACGTAAAATACATAATCATGAAAAGTGCATCAGCAAAAAACATTTTTGTTAAATTAAATGACAGAAAGAAATGTACTCTTGGGCCATTCAAGAAAACAAAACAGGTGCAAAAATTCAAATATGTTTCARAGRATATGACTTAGACAACAAAAAACCTCAACTGTTTCAAAATCAGTGTAGCTAGGGTTCAAAATGTAGTCAACATCTGTTGTGAGTGCTGTCTCTGGGCGTTTTGTTTTTTGGTAAAACATTACAGAATTCTTAACGTAGTCGCTTTTTATCTAAAGGTTCAAAACATTTTGAGGTCATTGTATTTTTGGTGTGTCAAGGACCAATCAGCATCGATAAATCATATAAAAACAGTTACATTAAACATGATATCTCATTCAATTATTTTCCATTTTCTGCTCATTTCTCTTGTTTACCGTAATCCATAAAAATGAAGCAAACATGCCAAAGAATGACAATTAAAGACAATAAAATGTTCAACACAGAAGAAAGCTGATGTTTGTTAACATTTCTGTAATAAGATTTGGCAGCTGGGCTGAAGGAGAATTTATGTGTTTATTCGTTGTAAAACAACAAAGCTTTTACTGATGGGTTCCTGAGGCGTTTGTTTGTCAGGTCTGAATCTGTGGTTTCACATGGTGCAACACTTGTTCTTGAACGTGTGAGAATCTTTGAAACGAAGTCTCTGCTTCGATCGATATTTCTCCAAGAAGGTGAGCTGTTTGCTGTTGATGGCTCCACGTCTTTTCCTGAAAAGAACAGATAAATATATGATGAATGTCTTTGAAGCAATGAAAGGTGGGCAATCATGAATTTGTCAGTGTTTCTTTGTCTGTCTGTTAGAAAACTATCTGAATGAATAGAGAAAGTCAACACTACATGTGCACTGACAACGGAAAAACTAAGATAGACACATGAACCAACACAAAAATGACAGTTTTTTTAAACTGAGCTAACATACTTTGCATACTTTGAGCTTTGACATCAGCAATATGGTTTTCTTCAGATATACTAGTTCTAGAAGAATACATGTGATTTTATCAAACAAACTAACCTATTAAAACAGATGTTTACATTGTTAGAATAATATACAGTATATACCAGAAAGCCTTGTGAGTCCATATAAAGGCTGTACAAGAACTGAATCCTACACAATACAAAATGTTACCAAATTATAAAAAAATAAAAAGGTATGAGAGGTGGAGGGATCAGGGTGTCTATTTCTTTGTTAAACTTGAAATAAAGTTTTTGTTTTCGCATGAGAAAATTGGTGAAAATAAAATATATAAGTACATTTTATTTTATTTCTAAATAATATTTTTTACGGAGCCCGTACGGTGAATTAAAAATCATTTTTCTTGTGGCCATGCGTTATTATGTCACCACTAGATAATTTTGAGGAGCCTTGTCTTTTGTTATATTGTTACAGTCAGATTATATATGAATACGCTGTTTTTGTGTTTAACTGCTCAAACGTTACCCTTATTATTATTATTATTATTATTATTATTATTATTATTATTATATATATTATTTTTAATCTAAACGGTTTATCTTTTATACTATTTATCAGATGACATTGAACGCCTTGTTTGTGCGTCGGTAAACAGTGTGTTCTTGAATGTAACATTACTCCAGCATGGTTTGAGAGAAGAGCCTGTTTTGTGTGTTGAACTTCAAATAAAATAAAAGTTTTTGGAAAAACGCAACTTCAGTCGCTGTATGTCACTCATTCCTTTATTAAACTAAAATGAAATCAATTCAAACTTGTCCTTGTTAACCAACAGTCTGCAATAATGCAATAATTATATGGTGGTCACGAGATAACTGATTTTTATCCAATGTCATCAGACTAGCTCTGTATATTTGTGATTTGCAAATACTTTTTGTCATTCTTTCTGCATGATAATTGTGATTCACRGTGAAGTACTTACTGTCTTATGAGTTGAATAGCATCTTCATATTTCATCCCACTTTCTATAAGAGCCAAAGCAACCATCACAGGAGCCCTGCAGGTATTTTTTACACAGACTTAGGTTTGCTTATCCCAGAAATCTTAAAATATATGGAAATGTGTTTCACTTTTATACAACTTGTACCTTCCCAGACCAGAAACACAGTGAACAGCTACACAACTTCCTGGATCCTCMTGAAACTTCTTCTTCAGCAAACACAACCAATCATCAACCAGTTTACTGGGTGGTGGTGCTCCATCATCAAAGGGCCAGTCCTATAATGTAACACTTTAGTCATTTTATAACAGACTGATTCTGTGCTGTGTTGTAAGTAGTGTCTCTGCACTCACCAGTACAGTAATACCTTCTTTCTCAAGTGGGGTTTTGTCGTAGGTGCAGTCACAAACTCGCACCACGGTCGTGACACCGTATCGTTTTAAGACCTGAAAGGTACAGCACAGAGGCTTACATGAATAAACACAAGATGAGCGGATCCAGTTTTTATGTTTAGTACATACGTCTGAACTTTATGGATTATTTGTGCGAGGCGGCCGGGGTGTACACTGGTGACGTACCTCGGTGAAGGAGTTGAGTGTGCTGTCTGTGGGGTTGTGTGTGATCAGGAATCTCATGTTCTTGTGGCACAGTTCCACTGGAGCCGGACGATTCATGGTGGCTAGTTTAACCTCTACAACTGCGGCACGACCTTTGACCTTTGTGACAGAATAAGAACCTGTTAGTATACAGTTAAAGTGTGACACGATCAGAAACTTGTATGCTCAAGGTATGTCTGAAACATTTTCTAAATCCTATCTGCAAAATGGGTCTCCAAAATTAAAGTTAAATAGTCTGCCCTTTTGAAAATTTGGCCAAAWATGTTGGAAAAATAAAGCAGCTTAAAAGTTCAGGAAATACATCGGTTTGTGTGAGGATTTGTGTATTGTGTTAGTTATTTTTCATTCTGTGTTCCCGTCTGTGTTACCTGCTCCTCTGTCCCTCCCCAGCCCCTCCCACTCCTATTTGTCTCCCTCACAGGTGTTTATTTGAGTTCGTTAGTGTTTCTATATTTTGCATGTCTGTGCTGGTCAGGTTAGTTCCGCATTATGTTGGCTTCCAGTCATACAACCTGGTTTTTTCTTGTGTCATGTGCTTCCTGTAAGTCMGTCTGCTGTCCTGTCAGCCATTTACTTGTAAATAAATCAGTTTTGTCTTGAGCTACTTAAACCTGCCTGCTTATTGGTCCAAACCAAAGAGTTTGTATAATAAGGCTGCTCGATATAACTGCACGGTCCAAACCATTGCAAATTTGTGATCATTTGTGTGTGTAGCATATACATCTGGAGCAAAATGGAGCTTAGCATTAGCTTAGCATAGCATAAAAACAGAAAGGGACAGCAAAGAATAAAAAAAACTAGACATGGGTTTTTACGATGTTAAAACAAGTGTGCATTGCCATGTAGCATGTCACTGCAGCATGGCTTTGACTGCAGCATTGGACTTGCAGAAGGAACTTTGACCAAGTTCAAATGTGTTTTCTATACCGGCTTGTGCCTGTCACATCAGCAGGTGTTTGTAATTAAGGTAATTGTGTGACAATATGAAGTTGGAGGAGATTTTTTGTTAAAATTGCATTAGATGCGTTTTGAACCCTGATCTCCCACATGAAAGTCCATGACATACAGTAGACCATTAGACCAATGGAGCTGTGGCAGAAGGTGGTGGCAGGGGTTGGTTTGTATGTGTGCAGAAAGAGGCCACACTGCCAATACAATTATTGACACAAAAATGCATAATATTACAACAATAGAGCAATATTAAGACAATATTATAGTAAAACATTAAAATACAATCATATTAGTATTGTAAACACTGAACAATTGAGATTAAATATAAAAAAAACTATGGTGCAGTAACAAGTTGAGTACAGCTGGGGGCAGTATTGGACCATTACAAGGCCCCATTGACTTTCATTTTATGAATTTGGAATAAAGTTGAAACATTAATATTTCAAAAACTACAAGTTGTACAGGTACCAAAAGGCA